TAGTAGTTTGGTAGGGTAATTTCATGTCTGCTAATTTAGCAAAGAAAATGCTTTCAAATTTATGTCTTTGTATTTATTTTGATTTTATTGTTCCAGTAATTACTTTCTATTGAATTTTAGAAAGATACTGATCTGTGATGCATCTTGAATAAAATTTTTTAAAACCCCTGATACTTCACTAGGGAGTTTAAGAAACATTGCTTTAAGATATAACGATAGCAAAGTTCAAAAATCAGAAAACATGTTGACAAGGGTATGGAGAAACTGGAACTCTCACACAGTGCTTGTGGGACTGTAAAATGAAGCAGCCATATTATACATATGTGAAAGTTAGACAGTGAATAAGGAGGAACGAGAATTGATGCCTTTGAATTGTAGTGATGAGGAAGCGTGTTGCGTATACCGTGGACTGCCAAGAGAACAGACAGACCAGTCTTACTTAGAACTGCAGACAGGATGCTCCTTTAAGGCTAACATGTTGAAGCTTTGTTTCACATACTTTCGTCATATTATCAGGAGAAACCAATCCCTGGAGAAAGACATCATGCTTGGAAAAGTAGAGAGTGGTGAAAAAGAGGAAAACCCTCCATGGGACGGATTGACACAGTGTTACTGCAGGAGATTATGAGACCACTGCAGGATCACATAGGGTTTCATGCAGTTGTACACGTGGTCACTCTTGAGTTGGAGCTGATGTAACAACGCCTAACAATGACATATATGTGTATAAATTTTTTTTAAAAGAATCACAAGGGATTTTTAAGCAGTTTTATTTTTTGCTACAATATTAAATTCCTATTAAATGTGTTAAGCCAGTTTGTCAGATCTTAACTCCCAAAAGCTTGAAATTTTATACAACTAAAGAGAATTAGCATTTGAAAGGCTTTGTGTCAGTGTGCTTGGCAAGGAACTTCCACCAAGTAATCAATCTTTGGTGGAGTAGAAAGTATATGTGAGCTAGTAAGTCAACTAGACTGATGGGTCAGCGCTCTGAACTGCAGTCATCTTGCCGGTAAAGTGAAGCTGGAGACCAGATGACCCCGAAGGCCTTCTCCACTTCGAATATTCTAAAGATCTATGAGTGTAATTCCGTCATCATTTTGTTTTTGTTAGTTGCTGTCAGATCAGCTCTGACTCATGGCGACTTTAGATATACTCATAACATGTTGTCAGCTCCCGGGCCATCCTAATCATTGTTGACTAAGGTATTTTCACTCTTTACAAAAGGTTAATACTAGGAAATTAAATAAAAACCTCTCTTTTGCATACCAACTATTTCTTGATAGTCTTTGTTGTTAATAAAATGAAACCCATGCAGCTCACTAAGTATACAAAGAATTAAAGGAGAAATGGCAAAAATAGGGAAACGAAAGTAATGGCTATTCTAGGTAACTCAGAGCTTTAAGAGTGTTGGTTTGAAAGGCAAATGGGTGAAGTTGGCTTTTATATGGAAACAACCTGAAATTCACATAAAAAGAGATATACTAGAGACCTCAACACTTCCTCCCCTCCACATCTGATCAATGAATTTGAGACTTTTTAGCTCTTAATTTTCAGATCTTGGTCAGAGTTCATAAATTTATATAATCTTTATATTTGTATTTATAAGGCCTTCTACACATAAAGAATCTGTTTGCTCATCTTGTGCAAAGGTTTATTTTCTCCCAGTTAGTTCAAAGAATTCCTGGAGATGGAGATTTTTGGATAATTGGCTTCCCAAGCCTACTTTTGGTGAATTACCTTTGATTTATCACTTCAGCCTTCCCTTTCCCCCTCTGGCTTGCTGATCCTGTTCAAGCCGAGATGTACCTCTCTACAGGGCCCCTGTTTTCTCGCTCCATTCTGTCCTCATCACTTCCTTTCCATGGAGCTCTCGGTACTTCTGAACTGTAAAGCTCTGCACAGCCACCTCCCAGACTTACTGTAGACCCACCACTGCACAGCCAGGACCTCACTGAAGCAGGGTGCTTTTAGCTTCTTTAATGGGATTTTTTTTCCTTCTTTTGAAAGATGTTTGGTTTTTGCAAAATATTTTTCCTTCATACTGATTATCACTGATGTCTTTTTATGTCATTAAGTAGATTCCAACTCATAGTGACTTTACTATGAGCAATGGGAATATTTTATTTTAGCACAACTTGATGCTTTGCAATTTCGATCATTTAAACAAATATTGTACTGGGTTTTTAAAAAATTATATTCTCTAACATGCAAAATAAATTAACTTTAGCTTACACACACACACACACACACACACACACACACACACACACACACACATTAACCATTCACCTCAATATGCTGTTATAGGCTTATTTTGAAAACATCCTCATTTTCATTATTTGTGTTTCTGATAAATGTGTGAATTTCTCTGAACTCAAATATTTACATAACTGCCTGACAAAGTATATTAGACACTCCTAGCCTTATAATCACTGAGGTGGGAAAGGGCGAGTTCTCATTTCATGAGTAAGAGAGGAGTGTGGCACTAATGCCTTTCATTGGCTTCTTGATTCCTTATTGACCAGATACCCTTAAAGGACCCACTGGTGGCCCCAGGGAAATCATTAGAGATAGCAGAACTGAAAACCACAGTTCCCTTCTTGAGAGGAGTTAAATCATACACTTGACTGACTAGAAGAGTAACCCTCAATCATGGCTGCACACTGGAGTCCCCCAAAAGCTAAACAGAAATGCCAATGCCAACTAGAATCTCTGGGGACGGGACTCTGGCATCATATTTTCAAAAGCTCCTCAGTTGACCCCATTATGTTGCTAGGGGTAAGAGTCATAGGTCAGGAGTCTAGTGAGCTGATTGGCTCTCAGTAGGAGGAAAAGAAAAAGTAGGCTCAATCCGGGTGAAGGAACTTAATGGTAGTTGAAGAATGTATTCATTTTAACCTGGAAAAGGGCTGGGACAAGCTGAGACAAAGTCATAATAACTTCAAGATGTGGGAATACTTTTCCCTTGGCCCCTTACAGACCACTCAAAGAGTTAAGACATTGGCAAAAAAGAACCCAAGATTTAGAAATCAACTAAAAAATGGCTGAAGAACTTGGAGTACTTCTGACTTTGGAAACTCACTGAGAGAAATCTCTGTCCTTAAATGTTCTGTTGGAAACCCACTAACTCATGGGCCTTTTGTCCTGTGTGTGTTGTGCACATGTGTAAATAAGTGCACTCATTTGGTTTTAGGCTACCTTATTCTTTTTTTTTATTATTAAATTTTATTAGTTTTAATGAACATTTACAGGGATTTTGGGTTTTCATTC